GTAAAACTTCTCGAATTTGAGCAGTAGGTTGTGAATTGGTATTCATAGTTATTATTCGTACCCAAAGTTTGGTACGTTTGTTTCAGCTCAAGACATTTGATACCACGTCAATCTCATTACAATGTTAGTGAATCTCACACGCCATCATGAACACAATTTCTCATTTATGTTATTCAACCAACGCATAGTCAAAAACTTTGCCTTAGTTCATCTATGTGCACTTCAATCCTTTACGTACATGACATTGTATACGAACAAGTTCTCTATTCCTTCAGAAAGGTAGGATTAGTGCATTACACCATAGTTGTTCCACCTTCTAGAATACAATCTCTTGCTTATATATCCCGTTGGACTTTGTTTCCTTTGGTGTCAATACAGTTGGCGATTAGGCTATCTTGGAGAAGTTCCTAGTGGATCACTGGTAGTAGCCAACGTAAATTCCTTTGTTGTTGAAATTCCAGTATTCATTTCTTGGGAAGAAGTCTTCACTTATACGTACACATTTTATCAAACCCTTCACATTTTATTAAATTCTCCATATTTTATCCAATCCTTCACATTTGATTAAATCCTTCATAAGGTTGCTTAAATCACGGTGAGCCGAGAAGTTCACTTTAGTCCATCGTTTGATTTTAGGGTAGGAAGAAAACTTTAGGTTTTTTTCCGACTTCTCATCATAAATGACCATGGTTGTCTCATAGGTAGTTTTGGTCATACAACTTTCTTGTAGTATAGATCTAGGCACAATGGGAAGGTAGTCGATTCATACCTATGATAATGTCCAAGCTTCCTCTCGGAATTGGTATAAGGTCTATAAGTAAAGATCGATAATTCATGGTTATTTTATCGTTAAACAAAAAAAGATGACCGTATAACGAATTGATGTGACACAAGAAAATCCGTGTCATATAAACAACGATATCAGACTTTAGGTGAAGTGCGCGTGAGATTGACATGAGAAACATGATTTGGTAAGTGCTAGGATGAAATTTATAAAAATTTCACAAGTAGATTTTCGATAGTTCACTAGTTGTCTATGCTCTCCAGGTTTTCTCCAAACTACTAGGTTCATGACTCATAATTGGTTTAAGTTTAGGGTTCGCGAATATTTCAATCCACATCTATATTACAATTACTTCAGTATACAAGTGGTTAATGAGAGACGCACTAGTCACTATTGATGGTTCCTAGATTTCATTCCTTGTTCCGATCACAATTACTCTATCTCGAGTGGTTATCTCCTGGTTCTTCAGCTTTAGGCAGTTTCATCATCTTCATAAAAAGCTTTACTTTAACTAGTGCTTGTTCTAACTTCTATAGCTCAATTCCAAGTGCATCACCTGTGGTGCTTCTCAATTCATGGTATAAGCATAGACATTGCCCACGATTTACACATAATAGTTCTACTCAGTAAAATTTGTGCCTTTAAAAGTTTAGGTGACAGCTAATATTGTTAGCTTTCTACACAAGAGCTGACATGAATTACTAATTCCATATTTTTGCTCCAGGGATTCATTCCTAAAATCGATTCAATGTCATAGAAGGATCTAGGTTGACGTCACTATTACTTCCATGTTTGTTGCTTAAAAAATCTACCTTGTCCCAAGTCGTTGTTCCTGTTGACTTTGTAAGTGACCATGATGTTAGATACTAGTTGTTCGATTCATTATCTCAATCGTAGTTGCGACAAGCGATTGTGTTTGTATTGGACGATCACCGACTGGTCGCTTGTGAGACATCTTTTTCTCACTACAATTAGTTCAAGGGGAAATGAGTCGCGTGAAAAGTTCGACGTGTATATAAACGATAATGCTAAAATTATGTTAGACGTGTAGAATTGTCGTGGGTTTGCCCAAAATTAACTCTACTATGAGTATTAGATGCAACACACTTTTACAGTACTAACAAGGGTGAAACTTTATACTTGGAATGAGTGAGAAGAAACCACCGGGTATTGTGACAAGTTATCCAAAGTTACGAAGAAGATGTTATAGGACTCAACTTCTACCCGATGTTTTGATCCTACCTCAAGTTTTGAAGTTATGATTTTTTTGAATCGAGCTGTTTTGGAACCAGGCAAGATTTCTAACAACTTTCTGGTTTCGTGATTTCATGGAGTCTGCTATATTCTCCTTCAAAAATGTCATAAAATACAAAGAATTCGTGTAGGTGTCCTTCTTTTTAACTTAGATGGTTCAATTATAAGTCGTACGACTCATAACAAAATAAAATGGACTAATTACTTACCTAAGCTGAATTCGAAATGATTCGCGAAGGTGTGTATATCTTGCAAGGTATTCCTAAGTAGTCTAACAGATGCATTCGTATGATATTGTAGTTGACTAATTTGTATACCTAGATAAACTCCGGACATGTTTCACGTTTATGATACTTATAGTTTCATGGGCGTTTGAGGTAAATGTTTTCCAAATATTCATAAGTGTTCATTAGACCTTTGAGGGTTCTTAAGCGTTTAGAACTGTGATTCTCTTTAAATATTATGGATCCCAAGCGTTTTAGTCTACCAATCCAAGCTAGATTGTGCATCGGTCCAACCAAAATTAAACATAAATGATCAATCTATGTGTAGTTGTGGTTCGGCCTTCATACAATCGACTTAGCTAAGGTGTTTGACCTAAAACATTGCATTGTATTGGCATTCGAGGGTTCGAGTTCAAATATGTATATATGTATAACCACATATTTGTAGGTTAAGGAATATACCTAACCTAAGAGAGTAAGCCCTAGGCTATAGTCGCACTTTCCTAAGAAAGTACATGTTCACTATAGCCAATGGCTTTGATACCAATCTGTCACACCCTCGGCCGTCGGCGGAAACGCCAAAGTGCGCGACGTAAATTAGTAATCACAGTTATTGAACATACATTGAACAATACAAATAGAATATTCTATTATTACCGAAATACAAATTACATTTAGAATGATTATTGCTAAATCGTGACACACGACTAACAATCATGCGTTTACAAATAAATACTGTAAATAATGGAGTCATTTGAGCGAACACATCCGACCTGCTAAATAACCTAAGAATATATGCATTAAAATACGTCAACAAAATTGTTGGTGGGTTCTACAGGTTTTGACACAAGGTATTTTTATAACCAAAAATATTTTATAAAATTTTACTGGTTGACCAACTTTTATAAATATTTACTTTTCTGTCAAAAGTATAAAATAATTGAGTTGTAAAAATGTGTGAGACTCGTTCATAAGTACCATTTGTTCAAATCCAAATGTATAAAAGTTGGAAAAATACATATCAGTAAGTCAAAACTTATAACAAAATTTATACGGTTCCCATGACAAAAACTCTTTTTATAAAAGGATTTTGAGTGCCAATATATATAAAATAAATTTATATCTCATCTTGTGAAAACATAAAATGGCTAACTTTACTACAGACATATTGTACAGATGCTTGTGTAGTTTATATGCAAAACTCATAAGTTTTCAAATTTATGAACTTTGTAAATTCGTGCCGTGGCAATAATTAAGTATTATTTTACTTTATTTAGGAACCGACACTTAACCGGTGGGACAAACTCCTCACACATGAAAATTGTGTGTTCATATAAGAACAAATGTTTTACATAAATAACTTATTTTATGTAAGTTAATAAATCTTGTCGAGTCATGTCATGATATTAATTAAATGTTATATTACTTAATTTTTGGTATTGACACTTATCACTTTAAGTCACAAACTATCCCACCAAAATTAAGTTTCTTTCAACTAGAATGAGTAAACATTAACCTCGTATAAATCCAATGTCGATTTTATATGGTAATGAAACAAAACTGAGATTTTATAATGAAATCATAACCGAACTCGTGACACTATACTTTATTATTGCACCGGCACCATAATAGGGAATGCTAAAGTCATTCACCCTGTTGTAACACGTGGTAATGTTCGATAAGGCTAACGTCAGCGCCAAAATTCATCTTGTCAGACGTCGTTGCAGCTAGCAACTCCAGGCGGGCGGTCGTACCGTATAAGATCAATAATATGACACTTACACCCGGCGTTAGTCGTTCCCTCGAGGATTAACGATTATATATTGGAGAGTTTCTATTTGTATTTAGATCTTAGCTTTCTCGAAACCCAGAATACTTTATAATGGAAACTCAAACGTATTGGATATGATATTCGGAATACGTATGATAAACCTATAGAATAGGTATGATGAACCTATATGGTATATATGGATTAGGTATGATAAACCTATATGAATAGGTATGATGAACCTATATGGAATAACATGGAATAGGTATGATGAACCTACTTGGAATAGATATGATGAACCTATATTGAATATATGGAGTAGGTATGATGAACCTACATGGAATAGGTATGATGAACCTATATGGAATAGGTATGATGAACCTATATCATCCATTCGTTGTTACACAACCTTGTATAATAAAAGTTAAATTCTATTATTTTTAACTAATAGTTATATATTTTCATAGTCTTTTCATTATTTATGGAAAAATATACTTAAGTTTTATACCCGAATAATATTTCTGGTTATTTTTATATCTTTCCTTACTCCAATTCGATACTTTAATTATTACATATAGATTTGTCATTTATGTGTGTTACAACACCAACTTGTGTTATTATAGCAATTTACACATAATCTTGTGATTTTTAATGTTATTAAGTAATACACAACAACGAGGTGTCTTTATAACCTTTATAGACACGCATATATTCTCCCCCAAATATTAATACAGTAAAAGGGGTGCTCATAGAAACTCACCCTTCAAGCGTGAGTTGCAATCGGTCAAATCCAATTTCTCTGAGAAGTTTGGTGTGGGAAACCGCAAATCAACAATTCTTGAATTACGAAATATTTTTGGATCCATTTCGTAACAAATTGAAACTATCGGGGACTGATTTGCATCTTTGCTAAAGTATATAGGCTTTTTGTTAATTTAATTAGATGGTTAGGACTCTTTTGGTAAGAAAAATGCCAAATGAGGGATTGATTTTGAATAAATGGAATCATTGTTTATGGATTGGGACTGATTTGATAAAGCTTTGCCAAGTTAGGGTTAGTTTTGTTTAATTTAAATACATGTTTTGAGTTGTCCTTAACTTTTGGCTGGGTCAAAATTGAAACCCGATACAGTCGATCACAAAGGCTCCAACATCACGAAGGGGCGTCGTCTTCAAAGGGACAATGGAGAAGGAACGCGAACGAAGGTAATGGACGAACACCGTGAGAGGGGAAAACACGAAGGCTCGCAGGCACAACTTCGTCGATCGACCGCGAGAAGGCTCGTATCCGGGGTTCGACTAGACTGAAGAACGAAGGGAGAAGCAGCGAGGCGGCCGTGACTTCGGACGAGAAGAAAGAGACGAAACAGCGGGGAAAAGGGGATTTCAGTGTTGTTTCTTCAATGGGTGGGGTTGCAGTCGGCATCTCCGATGAACCCATGGTGGTTTCTTTTTCTTCGCCTGTAGCAAGGAATCGGTGGAATGATCAGCTGCTACAGTCGTTGATAAGGGCTGTTCCGACAGCGATTCGTGAGGGAAGGCAGGGGGGATCATCTCCGGTGGTGCTTCTAGGTGTGCTCCGGCCAATCAGGAAGAAGAAAGGTAAGTCAGTCGATTTTTAGGGTGTTCTGGTTGTTGTAATTGACAGGAATTGATGGGGGATAAAAGATACCTGTTTGGGATTGTTTAGTATTTGATAGGGAATCGATGGTGTACTCAAATGGATGTATGTTTTTGGATCATTTGATAGGGTAGTAAAGGGGAAGGCTTCAACGATTTACAGAGCGTGTTTGGGTGGTACTCGACAGGAAAGAAGGAAGAAAAGAGGTTGTTACATCCTTGTTTCTACCAGAAATCAACACACCTCAGATGTGCTTCTTGGCAGCCATTTGGAGAATGAAGGTTAGTAGCAGCAATCTTTCAGATGGTGTTTCGGGTTGCTGCTGATCTGAAATTATTGTTGGGGTATTTTTGGTGGTGCTGGACGAAGCAAAGGAAGGGAAAGGAGAGGTATTGCCTCTTTCTCTGGTGATCCGAAGGGTTGGAGATGGTGGCAGCCACAAGTTCTTCTTCCCTTGTCGCTGGTATCCGAGAACATAAGAGAGGCAGACTACAAATTTTAGAGATGTTCATTGAATATAAAATCATAGAAATCTGATTTTGCAAAGATACTTGTAGATGGTGAATGATCGTGTTTGTACAAGAAATCAGATTTTGAAAGATATTAGATGCAAAATCAATTAAGATGTTTTTCCTTAATTATTTATTTTGTAATGTAGTATTCGATTTTCGATTCTTATGCCATCAATCCCGAACCCATAATATTTCTATGAAATTGTCTATGAAACTCCCAGTATATTGTAGTTGTCGTGGTGATTCCAAAAACGTAGACGGAACTCAATTTGATAGATTTTTTTAATCTGTTTTTGGTGTAGATTAAAAATATAATAAAAATTTAATAAAATAATATGTCATATCCTGAATTTTAAAACCTATTGAAAAAGAATTTTACGAGGCTCGTAGCTATTGCAAACGAAGCAGTGCACGGTTTGTTTTAGGAAAATTAGATAACTACTTATTTTTGTAACTTAAAATGAGCATAACTTTCTCATACGACTTCCGTTTTGGATGCTCTTTATATCCACAAAATCAGGAGAACGTAATCTATTAAAATATGTTATCCATAACTGTCAAATATAATTAATAAAAATTTTATTTTTAACGTCACAATTAAATCGAATTTTTTGCGGTTTTTTATTCGATCTTCAACGATGGATGATTTGATTAGCTTATGATGTTCCAAAAGAATTTATAAATATGATATATTTAATATACATTATAAACTTAATATTACACACGATTGGTCAATAATACATAGCGGTTCGCGGTGGTTTGACCGTCGAACTCAGTCTAATTTTTACCAATTGTTATATTATCCCCCCGTTGAAAGGAATTTCGTCCCGAAATTTAACTTGTGAATAAAATATTATAAAATAATTGGTGGGGTTTTCATTTCGTTTGATCCACACGTGATCTTTCTAGAGTCGATTTAAGTCGCATAGCTCTAGATTATATCACTGATCCAATGGATGACTTTAGCATAAGTCACAAGTAACCAGGGAGTAGAGAATAAGAACAAATCAATTATTTTAAAGATTATTGAATCTTAAATAAAATTTTACGGCGATGTACTTCCCAAAATATGAAACACTTGCGTGGTTTTCTAGTACACTCGTTGAGATTTGGCGTATGAAAATGTCGTGCATTGTGACATCCCCATTTTCACGGCCAGAAAAGACCGATTTTGTTTATGCTTTGTTTAAAAATTAGAGTAATATTTTAAATAAAAGTGTTACGAAATTTGTCCCAAAACAATATATCATAAACATTTATCAAAAGCATTTCCGTAGAAATGTATTTCATTAAAAAGACTCGGGATATCATGTTCGATACATATCATAAGCATAAACAATGCAATATAGGGCTTACTACATTATTCCGTATTTATAGGTCTAAAATCCATTAATCACTCATCCAAAGATATCACATTTATGCTCATGCGCCACTACTTGTAATACAAAAAACTGAGTGGGTCAGGCTTGGGAGCCTGGTGAGCACATAGGGTTTTCAACCCACAATAAATAAGTTTATTAACTTTATCAAACCAAACAAACCTGATTACCCGTTCCCGTTATCCTCACTTTACGTCCCTAAAACATCTAACACAAGGTACCTAGTCTAAGGACTATCATCGGGATTGATACTACTGCTAAGGGGATTCCTTAGCAATAAATATCCTTAAAGCAACCATGTGGGGGATGGAGTACATCTGGTGAGCACACAGTTCAAATAAACATATACAGGTTGCGAGCCTGCTAACGTTCCACTGGACTGTCTAGAATAGTCCGTGGTCGTCATCTATACTCCGCTAGATTTTTGGATCATCAATAACATCTATAACGAGGCCTCTCATTATTTTATTTTGTCACACAACAACTATTACATCTACCCATGTTTTACCCAACACATTTTGTAGATATAAAATACATATACAGTTTAAATAATTTAAAACATGTATAAAATTGTTCATCCAACATAGATAGAAAGTATACAGATAATATGCACACACAACATGTAATTTATATAAAATATTTCATATCTATGTGTAAGTTGAAAGTAACTATGCACTCACTTGATTAGGTGGTGACTTGGTACTTGAACAACACTTCGTTATCTCAAAACAATTTTTCCTTGACCAAAACCTAGTATTAATACCACTAGAGTTTAGTTTTAACGTTAATCGTGACTAATTAATAGTCTAGCTATTATTACTATTATATAAGCGTTAAATAACACTCAATATAAATTTTAATAATAGCCCAAATAATTATTTTAAGGTTCTAATAATGTTCCTATAATTAATTAAAAGCTATATTAAATATAGCATAGGCGTAACTCACTTACAGCGGGTTTTTATTAAAAACCGGGCTTTGCTGGAGCATCGTTTCCGAGCCGAAAGCTTTTCTTCTCGGAGCCGTCGGGCGCTCCAGGGCTTTCTACTCGTGATAGGGAGGTTCCCTAGACTTGGGAGGGGTTTAGGGAGGTTAGAGAGAAGTTAGAGAGAGAAAGAAAGGTTTGAAGGTGTGAGGAAATTATGAAGAGTTCATCTCTTATTTATAGGAATTGTATAGTAAAGTAGTCTCCAAGCTTCGTCCGTCACTTTTGCATACGAACTCCGTTTTTATCTATCTTTTTACCGTTGAGTTCCTATTAATGAGATCTTCAACTTTCATTTAGACCTCGTTGGCTAATTCTCATTCTATCTCGGATTTACAAAACAATATCGAATTCGCCGCGCTCGAAAAGTAGAGACTAAGCTTCATCCATAACATTCGCATACGAGCTCCGTTTTTGTCTGTCTTTTTACCGTTGAGTTTCTATTAATGAGATCTTCAACTCTCATGTAGACCTCGTTGGCTAATTCTCATTCTATCTCGGATTTACAAAACTGTATCAAATTCGCCGCGCTCGAAAAGTTGGGACTAAGCTTCGTCCATAACTTTCGCATACGAGCTCCGTTTTCGACTGTCTTTTTATTGTTTAACTCCTATTAACGACATCTTCACTTATTGCTTAGATTATTTTGGCTAAAAATCGACCGATCTAAAATTCAGATTTCGGGCTGTGCACTTCTATGCTAAATCTTAGAAAAATCATAACTTCTTCATACGAAGTCAGATTTGGATGTTCTTTTTGTGAACACTATCGGTTTAACATATAATATGACTTTCGTTTAGATCGCTAAGGCTAAATCTCGCTCTATCATAAATTCACTATTTACGCCTCCCGGTATCGTGTCGGTTTCGTCACGAAACTTCGACGGGTCATAACTTCTTCGTTATAACTCGGATTTTGACGCTCTTTATATGTACGGAAACCTTGTAACATATACTAAAACTTGGTTGAGATTATTTATTCTGAATAATATTTTGTCGAAAAGTCATTTTCGACCCCTATTGCCTCTAAATTGACTAGCCCGGATCTACGGGCGTTACAATTATCTCCCCCTTAGGATGATTACGTCCCGGAATCATCAACGAAAAAATATTGTATAATGACTCCATACATTATCTCTTCATCCTAGGTAATAACTATAACTTCTATGTCGCTTCGAACTAGTATCTAACTCTTGGACTGCAGGCGGTGCTCGATCTTGCACCTGCCCGTTAGACTTTCAATCATGACCTTCATGTCACAACCTCATTCTTTATCAGAGACTCCTTCTTCTTCTTCTTAACAAACTTAGGATAAGTTAATTTGATTGCTACAATTGACCGATGTGTCATATGGTAATGACCTATCATCGTATGTAGCAATGCTTAGACTCAGGTCTCTTAAAGTCAAATTCCGGAATGGAATATGCCTTCCTTCATCGTCTATGTGATATAATCACATTTTAACATGTAGCATTTCTATCTGACAACTTCTTTAACAACGAGCGTGATACTTCTATTGATCGCTTTGATTTGAATCGTTTGGTTTAAGTCGGATGCTACATCAAACTTGGTTCTCTAAACCACGTAACCTACTCATCGTAGTCGGTCTCAATGTGATATGACCACTAGGGTCGGGATAACAACGATCTTCTTAGTCATTACCAAAACAATGGTAACGACATACTTGAATAAAACAAAATCAATTACTAGTTTCTTGTTAACCTTGTGACTTTCCCTTATCTAAGTGTGATTCCTGTAGTTTTCCAAGTCACCGTACAAGAAAATCACACATAAAATATCAAAACGAAGGTTTTGTATTATTCCTTGAAATGATTACATGGGTGTTCAAGTTCACCGTAGATTATGCCTCTAATAGGCTACACCATATGACACTATCTACATGGCTTCTTCATAACTTGATCTCCATGTATCCATCCTCACTCCTGATTCCTTACATCGTCAGTTGCTTCGTCTAGGATCATATGGAATGCTCTTGCCTTTGGTTTTGGCGGAATGTTTGGTCTTGTCGCCTCTTTCTTTTTCGGGTAATCCTTAGCAACATGCCCTTCTTCACAACATTCATAACACACCCTTTTGCTGGCGGTGCACTCGTTGGCGTAATGTCCGGTCTTCCCACACTTGTAGCAAGTCACTTCTTCGCTACATTTCCCAAAGTGATTCTTCTTGCACTTCTCGCACCATTTCACTTTGTTTCCTCCTCCGCTAAACTCCTTTGAACCAGACTTCATCTTCTTATTGGGCCTCATAGACCCCTCAGACTTCCTCTTTTCGCCAACCTCAATCTTGTTGGCAGCTCTTCCCTTAATCATATCTTCCACAGACTTGGCAGCCCAGATAGCTACCTCCAGAGTAGGTGCCTGACGCACTGGCACCGCGTACTCCCATGGAAGTCCCTTTGCATACTTGTCGATTTTCGTCAGCTCATCCGGAACTAGGTGCAAGGCGAACTCCATCTTCTTTGTGAAGTTGTTGGTGTATTCATCAATTGACATGCTTCCTTTCTTCAAGGTCAGGAACTGGTTCTCTAGCTCGAGTAAGTTTTGAGCTGAGCAGTACTTTCATTTAAATTGCACCAGAAACTCT